GCTGCTGCTCAAGCCTCAAGCAGGATTCTGCTAGTTAATTAACATATCTGTAGTATATCTCTCTGAAGGCTATCAGAGAGAAGAATTTCATTGTTACAATTCCCCCATTCTGTTCATTCCTCAATCTTTTTTTAAAAAAATATATTTTATTGATTTTTTTCTATCCACTGAGCCAAACTGGTTAGGGCCATTCCTCAATCTTGAGGGAAATAGAGCAACTGGGCCCAGGTTCAACACAGAGGGAGGATTAGCTTGTAGTAAGATTTGTCTGCCCCTGGGTGCCCCTCTTCTGGCCCTTATAATCTCACATGCCCACCTGAGCCTTAGAGGAGGCATTTTGGGTGTACAGTTTACAAGCGGAGACCACAGCAATGGTGAAAGAAACAGTAGGCCAGGATACATGTACCCTAAGTAAGGATTAAAGCAAACCATAGCCAGTCTCTGAGTCTGTAAAGCTGTCAGTCTAGAAGACCCCCAGATGAAAGGCTCAGAGCTTCATTTTTGCGGGAATGAGGGCAGGCAGTGAAAATTCAACAGATTGCACTGATCTGCAGTCCGAACATCAGCTGTCTCTGTGGCTTACACAGCATCCGTCACCTAAACTATCAAATGTGAGCTATTGTGAAGATTTCTCCGAAGTTTACATTATATCATCTAACTACAGTCTGCATATGCAAGGCTCAGAATAAAGTTTTCGTTCTCAGTAACTCCAGGGCAAAGGAAGGGAGAAAAATAAAACACTAGTTAAGAGGGCTGCAGCCAAACATTTTTGCTAGAAAAATTCAGGACCCAGTCCTGTCCACAGGTGAAAAAAATAAAATTTTGAGGACAGTTAACCAAGCTATAACCTAATATCCACAATTGTACATTATGGTTTCAATTGAAACAATTTCTCTCTCGAAAATCACCCTCATTTTATCAAAGATAGCCAAGTTAAGACTAATCCATTGCATAAGCCTAGTTTCAGTAAATTTGGTCTGTGATTTGCATAAGTACGACAAGAACAGCAATTGATTATATATCTGCTTTGCTGGAATTTCATAAGGACTCTCCAGATTAGCCTCATGGCTGAGAAGCCAAGCCGCATAGTTGCCATCAGCACTTGCCTGTAATACCTATAGATTGGGGTGAATTCCTCAGGTTCTCGAGGTCCCCCAAAATGTCCTCAGGGTCTTCCTTTGCCATCTCCCAGGAAAGCAACCTCTGTTCCTTACCTGGAAAGACTGCCATGAACCATGTAAGAAAGGTACCAGGCTGTTTTTCCAAGGGGCTTTGATCAGCCTCAGAAGTCAACCTCAATTCCTTAGAGCTTTTTGGGGAGATCCAGAGTCTGTGCATGTCTCCTTCAAACATGACATTCCAGTCAAAGCCTCATCAAGGGTTTCTAATCTGTGTCCTATTATAGAGAAAACAGATTCCTATAGAACGTTATGCAAACAACCATGTTGCCATGAAAATAATAATAATCATTCAAAGTCTCCAAACTTCTTGAGGGATTAGGCAGGGAGAAAAATATAAATGTTAAATGCTTCAAAATTGCTTACAAAGGTATCATTTACCAAACTGCTGGGGGCGGGGGGAGGGGAAGGTTGCTTATATCACACAGACAATTGACCAAAGTCCAAAGATGTTTCCTTACTCCAAATATGACAAGTGCAGGAGGGGGTGTGGTGAGGGGGGCGGGGTGCAGCACAATTTAGGCGGTCAGCACAGTGGGGGCCAATCCACTAGGAACTCTAGCTCCTGGCTGGCTCACCCTTTGTTACAAGCCCAAGGCT